GAGGGTTTGTCTGTCCAATATTTAGTACAAATCTTAATCTTAAACAAAAATTCTTGAATTCGGTAGATGTTGTTATCTTAAAAAGTGTAGTGCATTTTAATTCAATATATGTCACTATAAAACCCAAATACCCATCAATTATTCATAAATATATACAGAAGTAACAAAAATCACTCATTTTAAATGGTATAATTAAGTAAAACCTTTAACCTGGCTACAATGAGACTATTAATTCAATCAGAAATAAACAGAAACACAGAAATTTACTAACAAAAATTTAAAAAACAATAAATACATTTGCAGTAAATTAATAACAGTTAACTCTTAATAATTTTTAAATATTAACGAAATATTTATTATTTAAAAAATAAAGCTGCAGTTGGGGAACCTAGGCAAGGTACAAACTATAATAAAATAAAGTTTATTGATACTTAACGATTTTTAACTTATAATATCGAAATCTAGTTAAATATTTTATTCATTGTAAATAAACTCATACAACATATCCGATTTATTTATTTAAAAAAAAGTTTAAAAATAAAAAATACACACCGTTGTAAAAATTAATTGATAGTTGTTTATATATGAACCCTTTGTTCTGAATTAATCATAACCAATAAATATTTCTTTAGTCTGTAAAAAACCTTGTAAAAAATATATTCGAAAAGTTACTATAAGATATTCTTACTGCTTTAAACTTGATTGTTAAATTTAGTTAGAGTTTAAATTTTCAAATTTGTTTAAAATAAAAATCTATCAAAATCTAATTTTATTATTTTTATCGCAACAACTTATACAGAGTCACCCATGTACATCAGGGTTCTTAAGTCCACCTACTTCTGCGAGCCGCAGACCATCAGTGATGTTTAATGAATATGTTTTACTGCATACGCCACCTGCCGAGCCGGTGACTGTAGAGAAAAACGTCTGTTCGTCAGAAAAAATGACACAAGCAGGAGATGGCAGCATCTGGCAGGTAAAAGATCAAGTCGGATATATTGAAAGCATTAGACCCTTAATACATATCTTAATTTTATGTTTAGGTGAACTTACCTCAAACGATTGGTACGATTGCGAATCCTTATGCTGATTGTTCAGAATTGGGTATACATGATGCAATGACTTGTCAAGAACTTTTGGCATTTTCTGTGGCCTTTTCAGCAGCATTGCCGACTGGACAGAGTACGCTCGAATCGTTTTATAATTCATTGGCACGTTGTGATCCACACACTGCAGAAGCATTCAAAAATCAACAAAATCTGGAAAATACTGCGGTAGTACTACATCATCAGAATTCAGTTAAGGATCGTAAGAAACCTATTGAGGCAACGAGTGCCAATGGTGGTAACGGCATCACTGCAACAACGAACATAACTGGCAATTATATGGAAGACTATTCATGTTGCTATGATTTGTATCAAAATGCTCTATCCCCATTGGATGATAGAAAACAACGCTCTAAGGTTATGAATTGCATCATAAGTTCTTATCGTTGTGTTATGAATATTTGCGGCATCGGTAGACGATATATCAAACGTCTGGTTGAACATAAATCCTTTCAGCAGGGCATTTTATTAGCCATTTTGATTAATACACTATCCATGGGTATTGAGTATCATAATCAACCTGAAGAATTAACTGTCATTGTAGAGACAAGTAATATTGTCTTTTCTGGAATTTTTGCTGTTGAAATGTTGCTTAAAGTTGTTGCTGAGGGTCCATTTCGTTATATAGCAAATGGATTCAATGTGTTCGATGGTGTAATTGTGATATTAAGGTAAGTAAAACTTTATGTATTATTAATTTATTTGCTTTAAAATTATACAAAATTTAAAAGATTATTTAAAAAGTAGCATTTTTATTAATAAATATTACCTATATGATATTCATCAAGTCAATAAAAGATGCAGATGATCAGTTTAATATATACCATTTATATATGAACCCCAAGTATCGACTAATGAGGCTACAACAATTGTTTAAGAATATTCTTTAAACAATGAGATAAAGTTGATGATAAAGTCTTTTCAACGTGGATTCTAATTAATATACCCCCAAATGAATTTGACCTCTCTAGAGACTCTCTATTTAAGTTTATTTGTATGAAAATTTTTATTTCAATAATAATGCACATATATTACACTTTTTATGATATTGTTATATTGAGAATCGGGTAAAAATAAGATCACTGCATGCACATCATAAGTTTTATACAACCTTGATAAAGAAATTTTAGGAAACCCTGAAATTTTGTGCCTTTAAGAATTACCAGATGGCACTTTCACACGTTGCTTGACATTTGTAGACCCTACTCTCTTAAGAGTTCCTCTGCTTTCGTGTATGTTTTAGATTACTTACTATTTTTAAAATTGAATTGTAAAAGTCGGATTCAATGCAGTGAATCCCTTAGAAATATTACAGAATTATAATGGGAACGATACTTTATCCAAAACGATTATTTGTTCATGGCAAAAATACTTCAAAAGTATTTGTGAATCTGTTGAGTATGACAGATTGGAAAATGAATAGCCACCGAAAAGATCCGAGAAATGTTGACCGAAAACCCCAAATTGTTTATCAGAGAACTGGCATAAAACTTGCTTATAAGTCTGTTCAAAGTATTTTAATTATTTGTGTCTCAGTTGTGTCACTGAAAAGCTGATGTCAAAACACCTCAGTTTTTTGAAAAGAACCCACTAAAGACATGATTTCAACGACTGAATCTGACTCAACCTCGATCACTTAATTACTGGAAAAAAAGCGTGGGTTCATGAGTATTGCACGACATCCAGGCATCAGGCGAGTAAATCACGTTCACCAGATGATTTTAGAAAACTGCATCGTTTTCAGTTAAAAAAGAAGGTCATAGTCACGGTTTTCATGGAACATCTTGAATACTTAAAAAGAACTCAGTCAGTAAACAAAGATTATGAGCATAATGAGATGTATGTGTGCAGCAATTCGTCCAGAAAGACCGGATAACAATGCACCTTCATCCACTGATATCCTTTTTGCCGAGTCTTTGATCAAGTGTAGAGCGAATACCATTAAAATGCCACCGTATTTGTCTGATTTAGTTCCCCGCAATTTCTTTCTGTTTCAACGAATCTAGAAACCACTTCCGTTCCTTAGGTTCACATATGCATGACTCGTGGGTGGGTCGACTTAAAGTATAGGCTGTGTTAAAAATAATTTTTAATTGTTTTCTAATCTTTAATGTTACCTTAATTAAATTCTATTTCACATAAAATATTCGAAGACGATTCTAATTGCTATACGTACTCGTACAAACACTAGCATAAGTGTATTTCAATCAATGGCGAGTACTTTGAAAGGAACGTTATCAATTTTTAAGAGCAAAATTTTCAATTCTAATATATAAATTAAGTATTTATTTTAATTTTATCGTACAAAAAAAAGTAAATTCTAATTCCAGTTTCAAATGGAAGATTTTTATTATTCCAATAATTCCACTCTTCCTTTGGGATTAAATATAAAGGTCCTATTGTACTCGTATATGTGTGGGCGCTTCTAGTCGAAGCATAGGGCACTAAAATCATGACAATGCTTCTGTTTAATGTTAATAAATTCATTTATTTTAATGTCCACAAGTGTTTCATAATTTCAGATTTAATTCCTACAATCTTTGCTTAGACACTCAACACTTGTTGCAGTGGAAAATTATATGTGGACGTCCACATTTTGTCTAGAAACTTGCTGAGTTGAAATTTACTAACCAATGCAAAAAATGCAAATTCCTCACATTTTTGCTATGCAACAAATGCGACATTGCAATGTGCATTCTTGGCTCTAAACTTACACCAATTGCATATGTCAGCAGTTGCCTTAACACAGTAGTATAAGTAGTGCTCCCTGAGCATGTCGGACGCTGTGTAGTACGTCTCTGGGAAGAGGCGAAATACTGAAGTCGAAAATTTAATTTTCAAGAATTTAAAGATTTTTATTTATGAAATTTTAATAGTCTGAAAACATTTTCTAAAAATAACTAAAATTAAGTAAACTGATATTATATGAATTTTACATTAACAGCGTCATTGAAATATGTCAGCAATTTCTGGGCAACGGCACCGGAGGCGGTGGTTCCGGTCTTTCGGTATTGCGTACGTTTCGTTTGTTGCGCATCTTGAAGCTTGTACGGTTCATGCCCAATTTACGTCGGCAATTATTCGTTATGCTGCGGACCATGGACAACGTTGCGGTGTTCTTTTCGCTGTTAGTGCTCTTTATTTTCATATTCAGGTGAGTTCGCCAAATTAAAAGTAATTACATCATTATTAATATAAATAAATGAAGCGCTTTGTACCTTAAGTCAAAACCTTTTCAATTAATTTAGGATATTAACGTACAACTACTTTATATTTTTACTCCCAGAAAAAAAAGCAGAAAAAAATGTAATTAGTTTTACCAAATTACTGCAGTTATTACTTATAATAATAAAAAAAATTTTTGAGAAATTAAATTCAGCTTAATAGTTAAAGCTTCAAGGGTACCCCGCTTAGATACGTTATCCCAGCTCCACAATATTTAGTTTAATTTATGTACAATTTATTACTTTAAGTACAACCCTTTTAGCCTAACTAAGTTCATAAGTTCATGTTCATTTTGATTACATACTTAAGTATCTCAACACCCCAGCGTACATTCCTCATCTATTTCATGCTACTCCAATTTCATCTATTTTCTGCTATTTTAAATTAGTTTTATAGTATGTACCTTAAGTATTTGCCATCAGTGTCTGTCCATTCGCAAGTAGCTAGCAAGCTTTTTACACTTTGAATTTAAATGAATTTAAATTATATTTGACATATTTCAACTTTTTTATATCTTTACACGTTTTACACGTTTTACACATTTATGCTCATTTTTTTACAATATTCACTATTTTATATACTTTTAACACCGAATACGAATTATATCTTTAACTATACTTGGTCAATTTTTTACTATTACTATTACTATGTTCTCTCTTTGTAATTTTGAAGATCTTTACAACATTACGAGTATATTCGATGCTTTGTTTACTTTGAGATATAAATTTTATTTTCTCTTAAATACCTTTTAGTATTTTACACAACATCAGACACATATTTATTTATAACCACATCAAAAGTATCATAGATTTTTATAAATGTGTGTATTAGCTTTAGAATATTAGCGTATTTACTATTAAAATATATATTGAATTATTTAAAATAATAATAAAAACTTTGCTATTTGTGTAGTCAATTGATTCATAATTCCGAAGTTAGTTAGTTTCATTGTTGCCTAAAGTAGTTAGAAAATATACCAACTTACATATTTACAAATACTTAATTTAAATACTATAATTTAAAATTAAAACAAAAAAAAACATAATTTAAACAAAAAAAAAATATTTCAAATTACTATAAACAAAATACATATAAAAAAATAATAAAAAATCTTTCTAAAAATATTCTTCTAGCTTTAAGCTTCTCATTTAAGAATACTATTATGTTTTAGGATATATCGATTTTTATTTTATTTTTACATAATTTATTTGATTTTATTTTATAGTTATAATTTATATACAAAAATTTTGTTTTTTGATTTTGTTATATTAAATTA